GCTTTAATTCAAATTACACACCCATACAGACAATCTGTACACATGGCTTGCATTTCAAAATGTAAGATCCCACTGTCAACAGTGAGGAGCACTTCAATCAGAGAACAGCCTTGAGTCAATAGTGCAGAGTAAATATTTCTAACACTGTGCAGGCTGAACTGAAAGACACAGGGTTGTTGCAGAATCTCCACGAGCTCATGCAGCTGTTCACAGCACACAATACAAACAGAAAGACAGGGCAACATTGTGTTGTCTTTACAAGAAACCATGAGCTTGACTTTGTCTCTGAGTGAAATATGGAAAATATTCAAGAAATCTTAAAATATATGATGTCCTGTTATAATCAATCAATATCAATCTGGTCCTGGCAGAGGTTACAGCCAGCCTATGTACAATCAGCATCAAACATACAAAATCCCAGTAATTTCCCTTTACAGTAACACAAGTACCTACAGTAAACACACCTCTAACTGTACCTCTTCTACAGTGACAGTAATGTGACAGTCATTCTCAAGAATTCAGACCTCCAGGGAAAGATATTAAAACAACAACGTTACTTTTGTTGGCTGAATTTTACCCCATGCTCACAAAGTTCTTTAATACAGCAGAACCTGACCCAGCGCGAGAGCTGCTGGCCTGGGTGGCACTTGGAGAATGTCGACAGCAAGCCTGAGCGAGGATGTGGTAGCTGGTGGTTATATTAGTGCTTTAGCAGGCAGCTGACTGCTGGGTTTCTGTGACCACTCTCACAACATCAACACGAGCGCAAACACACAAGTACACATCATGCGCTAACTGCTGTAGCTTCTTTAGAAATTGCCTGATTAAAGAATAATAACCGTCAGGAATAGAAAAAGGGAACTGATTGCTCAACTATTAGTCAGTAAGGTGAAAAGTTCTCTGCTGAGCCTTCTGTTATCTTGATCACTCTGCCACCCTCTTCTTTTGCAAAACACTGTATAGACCAACAGGCAGTTTTTCCTCCATCCACCAATTTGTGATCACCATGCTCCCATCATCCTGTCAGGCCTGTTTAAACTCTATCCAATGTACAATACAAGTGAAAAAGTACCCTTCTCACCTTTTTCATTTACCAAACAAAGCTCTGTACCATAGCAGTGGTACAGGTTGCAAACGCAAAACCCATCTTCATTTATTTAATTTGTCTGTTACCATCTCTGCTTTGAGTAAAATCAAGAGTAACGGTTGCATCCTGTAGATGCAGTCACCCCAGTAAACAGCTGCATTTGGGGAGTCCAACAGCCCAATATGTTGAAGGTAAGAGGAAAAGCAAGATGTGTCATTCCCAATTGTTTAATTGGGTTTGAACTCTGTATATGAGCTATAATAAAGGAAAATTCTCTGGATGGGGCACACTCACTTTCCCCTACTTTAACTTACGGGGCTCTGTAGTATCTGTGTGACTCGTTTCTTCTGCTCCAGAACGTTGAAGTCCTGCCGGAGATCAGGCGACATGTTCCTGGCCTTGATGTACTCTGGATCATTGACGTTGACCCGGTCAAAGTAGCGCTCTTTGGTCCCTCCACCGGATGGAGGAGGGGTGGTCACCACCCCCTGATGGCTGGCCACGCTCATGCCTGCTTCGCTTCACTTGCTCACTCTCTGGCTGCTGCACCAACTGTCACCTGAGAAGAAGAAAACCAGAGAGGTAAACTGGAGAGCATAAAATGTATGATTTTCCAATTAATTTTCCATCTTTATTTGAATGATTCAATATTCCTAAAACCTGACATCCATCTTTGCGTTTGCACTTTTTCTCAGTAAACATTTGTTACATGATCTGCACTAAATGTGATGTGTATGCAGAGGTTACTTGGATTAAGTCATTCACTTCAGGTAGCATGAAGTGTAAAACATCTACTTTATGAAAAATGAGTTGTTACAATATGTACAAAATGGTTATTTTAAGTTAAAAGGAACTGATGATAGGTGGCTTAATTAGCTGCCACGGCAGGCCCATAAGGTGACATGAATAGTTACACATATACTGTATATCTATGGCAGTCCATGTGTTCCAGCCACATCAAAATTAATCAATTCTGGACTTTGTAAATTGACGCTGACTGGGAGATCAGAGCAAATATTCAGCCCATGTAAAGTGTATTTAAGGTAAAAGTCAGTTAAAATATCTACACACTGCAATAACAGCTGCTGGCAGATTCAATTTGACCTTTGTCAAGCGTTGACAAAAAAAGAAGAAGATGATAACAAACTGTCCACCATCAGCAGATGACAAACTCACAGTCGCAGTGTGTTTTTGCCAAAGAGTAACAGGTCGTGTTTATAAGGACATACAGTAAGTGAGCCTCTGCTCTTCGGCTGACAAAGGAATAATAACCGTCAGGAATAGAAAAAGGGAACTGATTGCTCAACTATTAGTCAGAATAATAAATTCATTTCTAATGTTTTTTTCTGACCTGTGCAGTAATCCTGATGTAACAATTGTTTTGAGGAGGCAGCAACACATAGAGGTCAAAAAGGCTGGGAACCAATATGTTATACTGGACAACAAGTTGCGGTTAGCAGTCTACACGCTTAAAGAAACTGGCTCCAGCACAGTGGTGAGAGCAGGGTTTTGTTTCATACAGTACACACATCTTGTCACCCTGTTGACGCTCATATGGATACAACTGCACGTAGGCATTAGCCAGGTCATGCTGACACAGCACATAACAAAGCATATGAGGAGGACAGGAGCAGTTTTCTTTGAACATCCCGGCCTTGACTGGTCAGGCTGTTCACCCCCACTGTTCATTCTAAGGTCACCTGGCACCACAACAAACCTTTTTTCAAGACACAGGAATTGTACAGTAAAATCAACAAGCGCGACCAACCCTCGCAGTGCCTTATTGTCATGCCAAGGAACACAGCCAAAAAAAACAAAAAAACAAAAGGGAATAAACCTGAACATATGCCAAAGTTTATTATGTTTGTGAAAGAGCTCCCTTTGGATTGGAAAGTCTTTATTGTCCCCAAGGGGCAATCTGATTCGCAGCAGCAGTGAACCACAGTCAACACAACCAATACACATCACAAAAATAATATTATAATATTATAACATAATTATTTAAAAACCCAACAACCGACAGAACAAATGATCTCATGAATCCGTTCCATTTGGTTTGGAATGCAAAACAAATTTTACAAGAATCTGACAATAAAGCACAAGGAAATACAATCTAGAAAACAGATTCTTCTCATTTATGTGCAGCATAATCAACATGCTCCATCTGACTTAAATTCATAAAAAAAAAACAAAAAAAACTGTGGCTTTTCATTTGACCAAAGGCCAAGTGAAGACACCAAAACTTATTCACCCTTGTGATACTTCCAACTAACAAGCAAAAAAAAGTGAGACCAAATAAATTACCTCCTTGGTGGAAAAAGCAGATGAACCACAGGAGGAGCCAGAACATTTAAAAGTGCAACTCCCAGCGTCCCTTGCAGCAAGGCTGCAGCTGTAGTAGTGGCCGATAAGCTGGTGATGTATTAGTGCGAGGCGGGACTTGTCGGATATATAACAGATGGTGTATTGGCTTGAAGAGTGGAGGAATGAAAGAGGAAGAAAGTTTAAGAAAGGGATCCCACTGCTTCATAGTGGTCATCATCTGACACAAGAACCATCAGTGTAAATTTAGGGGTTACTCTGCAAGAACTGACCCCCTTCTCCTTTTCTGCTGTTTATTTACCGTGGTGGGAAACAGGAGTTGGAAGAGTGGCTTGGTTTGACACATGCCGCTAAGCTACGCATTGAGGTCAAATGGCAAAGATTAGTGGAGTGTCACACAGTTCAATGTATAGAGGAGACACCCCAAACAAACAATGGGTTAAAAAGAAATCCTTCAAAGTGGATGAATGTGCATGACATGTGGTGATCGTAGTGGGGTGTTTTCTCCGCTTGGTCCTGTGGAATTAAACCACCGTGTTGAGACTTGATATTTACAACACTGTTACTCTGTCAATATCACAATGCAAGGAAGCCAGCAACGCCGTTAAACAATTTTTCGAAGGATTACCAGTGACCTATTAAGCACGACTCCCCTAGTTACTACCTATTTTAAAACAAAAAGTGTAGCTGGTAGCATTTATTTAATGTTTTCCAGAGAATTGTCTCAACAGTATCCACTACTGCTTCCTCTGCTAGAGGGCGCTTTTCCCACTGAAATGTTCCCAACACATTGGGAATTCGACCTGTTGCAAACTCTCTTTGTAGACGATCTTGTTTTTGTAGATGCTTCAAGCCACGGACACATCAGACAATTGTTTTTGTAAATACAGGAAAGAAGAAGGAAGTTACACCTGTAATGTGGCAATGCTCGCTTTGCTTTGAAAATGCCAAAATATCCATTTAAACAACCAGTATTTCCTATATGGTGTTATCCATAAACCATAAACGGCAGAACACACAGGGGACACAGGAAACCTCTCGCTCTCTACCTGATCTCACAACTAAAGCTGTGATTTCAACCATGGAAACAAATAAATGTCACCCAAAAAAAATAAAGGCAACTGGGCAGCACAAAGTTCCTGCTTGCCCGCACTATTCTGCTTACTGAGTGGTTGTACACACACACAGCTGGGATGAACCAAATCATTAAAAGAGTGCAGATCTGAGGAATGATTCTGTTCCTGCTTGTTCTTCTACAGTTAGAGTCGAGTTATGTTCAGCTGAATACAGCAGTTATAGTCTCACCAAAATAAAGTTACACCCCTTCTGAGGTCTAAACCCTGATTTACACACAGCAGTACATCACTGAGCCATATTCACAGACACTGTTTTAACACAGCTGCCTATGTGAAGAAAACACTACATTGATGGGAGTGTGTTGCTTCATGTACAGGAAGTCTAGTTGAAGGAACAGATTTATATTTCTAAAGCATTTTAGATGTCAAAACACAGCACAGTAGTTTGTAATACTTACAGACAAAGTTGTACAACTCTGGAAAATTATCACACCAGTTTTATCTCTGGTTGTGATGATCTCAGGGTTAACGGTAGAAATAATTCACACTGCAAAGTAATCCACCAGCAACGTGAGCTTGCATGTATGTGATCTGCTGGAAGATGCTGAGTTGCGTTGCAGCACAAGCTGACCCAGATCCAACTTTTTTTACTGCCTGACGCTCTGTGGTTTTGGCAATGCCCTCTGTGGTGCTATTATCTGCACTTCCCCCATTCAAATGAATGATAAGGGCAGCCATTTTCATGCAACAGGACTAGGCCACATTCACACAGAGTTCACTCTGTGTGAATGTGGCCTAGTCCTGTTCTGTTACAAGGCACACAACCCCAGCATGTCCCCAGCATGAGCTTCCACACCCGCCCCTCTCTACCCTCCTCCCTCCCTCCGTCCCTGTCAATAGATCATTGTCCCCGGGCCTGAACCCTCTCAGTCTGATCACATCCAGAGAAATCTATGGATCTCTTGGGGGTGGGGGGCGTTTGTGTGTGAATGCGAGCGAGTACACAGTAACAAAAACAAGCCTGTTCATCGCACTGCAGCATCAAATTCTAATTTCTTGCTTCCTGGCAGATGCTCAGTTGTGATTCAATCAAACTCTTGAAGGAAACTCAACGACGCGCCACAACAGAGACACTACTGGAGTTCAGTGGCCAAGTGGAAATTTGAGACACAGTTGCCCTTTAAAGATATGGCACTGGAGGACAGTGCTGTAATGCAGCTGATTCAAGCTCCATTAATATGTGGGAGACAGATGAGGCATGCTGTGTTTACTGACGGCTGACAGACTGCAACTGCAGCCTGAGGTGAGGTGATGGCAGCCTCTCACCCTGTGACCTTCAGGACCTCCACCCCCCCAGCACATGTTTAGCAACCCTACACACACAACCTATCTTCATCTGCGAGGAAGCTGTTGGTGAAAACATTCTCATCTAGAAACAGTCACTTAAAGAATGCTATAAAACCAATCACTGCTGGAAACCGGACAGTTTAATGTGTCTTTGGATACAAGGATGTTACTGACGAATGGTGAGAGTCAGGGACATGTCAGCTCTATCTAGCTGGGCAACAACAGGCTGTTACTGCAAGAGGCAGTACTCATCTGTGATTCAGCATTTTTTATATATAAATTCATTATTTGGTCTGTAAATGTCAGAAAATCCCAACAAACACAGATTCTGTTTCCACAGCGCAAGGTGACAGCTTGTAAAATTCCTGTCACATGGGACAAAGAAAAGAAGCAAATCTTTGCAATTAAAAAGCAGGAAACAGGTTATGTTGGCCGTGTTTGCTTCAGAAGTGACAACCATTAACTTGAAAATGTGCTGTAGTGAACAGATCTACAACACAAGTGCGGACAGAAATGACATATTAACTTATAAAAAAATCACGTGAGATATCACTGAAGCCATAGCTATGCATTCCAGTCTAGTTTATTACCCTTTGATAGAATCTGCTTCCCTCCTTCGTCTCCATTATGTATGTTTACAGTAAGACAGAGTGCTCACCCATAATGCCTCAGTACTTTTCTGACATATGGAGCTGGATAAGAGCCAGTGGCTCAGACAACACACAACTCTTCATCATCATCATCTGAGGACGGGCATCTAATCAGGAAACCTACATCTGCCCATCTACCGTATCTCTGGCTGCATCTCTCTCTCTGTCCTGCTTTCTCTTTCTGACTTTATTTCTCTCCTCTTCTTTTATTTTCATTCATTCATTCATTCATTTCATTCATCTTCTACCGCTTAATCCCTGAACAGGGTCACGGGGGGCCGGAGCCAATCCCGGCCAGCAATCGGGCGAAGGCAGGGTACACCCTGGACAGGTCGCCAATCCATCGCAGGGCTAACACACGAACAACCGCACACGCACTCCTATGGACAATTTGGAGACACCAATCAACCTAAGCTGCATGTCTTTGGACTGCGGCAGGAAGCCGGAGTACCCGGAGAGAACCCACGCAAGCACAGGGAGAACATGCAGACTCCACACAGAAAGGTCCCGGGGCTTATCCTTAAATTTGTGCACAAGATGCATAGCCCATGCAAACATAAGTGCTGATTAATATTACATAAGGTAAACACAAACACCCACGCACTCACTCATTCATTCACACACAGGCTGCATATTTTTACGTAGCATAATTCTTATGTGGGGGCGGGGGGCTGCTGCCCCTGAAAATAGCCATTTGGGTTATGTTACAACCTCAAGTGCAACAATACCAGGAAATAATCTGCACGACACCTAATTATATCCACAAACACTGTAAATCGCCAGAGGGACCACGCACACACTTTGACCTGCAGTGCTGTAAAAGCACAAACAGAGGAGTAGGTGTGTTTGCTGTCTAAACACGCCCGCATAACCAACCCAGCAGTGGATCTGGAGCCAAACATACAGCAGCAAAGGTGCAAAGTAACTAAGTATATTTATTCAAGTACTGCACCTAAGTACTATTTTGAGGTATCTCTATTTCTGCCACTTCATACTCTGACATCACTACATCTTAGAGGCAAATATTGTACTTATGTACTCCACTACATTTATTTTACAACTTCAGTTAGTAGTTACTTTTCAGTTACTCTAATTTACAGAACAAAATACAGTAGCTATAAGACTACTGAACCCTGGTGGGAATTTCACAAGCTACCCATCAGTACTTGCAACTTTTACCACTTTTACTTTTGGTACTTTAAGTATAATTTGATGCTAATACTTTTGTACTTTTACCTTTTGAATGCAAGAAATGTACTAGTAACAGAGTACTTTTACTTGAGTAAAGAATCTGAGTACTTCTTCCACCGCTGCACAGCAGCTCAGCTCCTCCAGTGGCTTTGCTACGAGACGAGGAACACTCTTCTCCTGAGCCCACCGACCTGCCAGCGTTCAGTGTTTCATCTGGACACATGGCTGCATCTGGCTATCATTTTCATTTGTTTGTTCATTGTTCAAGCTTGTGTTAGTGCAGCAACTGGTCCCTGTGCAGGTTGCAACACACCTAAAATCTTTTTTGGATTTATTTAGCAGCCACTGCTTCTAAATTATATATATATATTCAAGAAACGTATGCTGAAGAGTAATCCCTGCTGCTGCAGTGACCTGAAACACTCACTTTGCCCTCTCTACATAGAGCCTCTACTGCTGTACTCATTAGAGGTAACAGCCAGCCTAGCTAATCCTCTGCTGCGCTCATACTCACTGTACTGTTAAATGTCAGGTGTGCCTATAGTGCAGGGGTGTGTCTTTGCATGTGTGTGTTCAGGCAGCCTTACTAACATGGAATTCCCCTAAAACTACCAATCAGTTTATTCTTTGGAGTCATGCCCTGACAGCTAGTGGGCACATAGAAACCAAACAGGATTAACAGTAATAAATGGGACTAAGTGTTCTACAAAAACAGGAATATTCCAGAGCAATGAAATTACCAAACAATGTTCTCAAAGTCCAACCTGGCTTAATGACCAGCTCATAAACAAATAAGCCAAGCCCAACCAACCTTGTATTTCCTCTTTGGTCAGTGAATGGGAGAGAACAGGCAGCAGTAGTAGGCGGCTGACGCAAAACACATGTCTTTGCTTTCCTCTGTTGCCCAGTGCCTGCGCTCAAAACTACAACACCGACTCCCAGAGAGAGACCAGGAGGCGGCAGAGAGAAATCGCAGGATATGAACAACAAAAAGTGAGGGCCAGGCGCCAATCAGAAAACCAGTCGGTCCACTTGTCTGTCCAGATTTTCCATGTAGATGCTCTTTGGTCAAGCTGCCATCAGACCACTGATTCTGCTGACTTCATTCCTCGGCCATCATCAGAGAGAGAAGTACCAACAGCTGCGAGTGTGTATATAAGAGGATGTGTGTATGCGTGCCCTGGGCAACTGAGGGAGTGTGTTTCTGTGAAAAAGAAGCTAAAGGGACCACGTGATACAGACTTAATCTCCCGCCCACTGGCTGGAAGCACATATCCACACACGGATTCAGGCAAACACACACAAACAGGCTGCTAGACCAATCAGAGCTCAGGCTCACACACACTAATCACCCCTCCTCCTCTGCCGCCTGCTTCCTCCCTCCCTCCGTCTACTCCAGCCTTTTCTTCTAGTCTCTTTCTTTTTTCTTTGATCCATTCATTCTCTGGTCTTTCTCCCACATTCCACAAACTTCTCTCTCTCTCTCTCTTTCTTTTTCTTTGTGTCTCACATTTACACCCCCTGCTCCCCTGCCACTCCCTCTGGGCGACTGTACTAAAGGTCAGCGTTTATGGCTTTAGCTACACAACCTCCTGCAGCACAAACTGCATGGACTTTGTTGCCACTTCGGTCCCTGAAATTCAATGTAGCCTGGCTTTGTAGTGAAGAGAGGACACTGTCAAATGATTTAAAAAACAAAAGTTAATGACTGCATGTCACAGCGTAGGTGTGAGATCAGGGTCAGCAGGTTAGCAGCCGTCTGTCATTCAGTGTATAAACTCCTTTTCCCATTCACCTCTCTGTTAATATTTGTTTCCGTTGCTACAGCTGACTGATTTATATGTTGCTTTACTACATTCCCCAAATGACAATCTAGAAATCAAAACCACTCAAAGCATATTTCTCTCTGTTCTTCTTGCTCACTGTGCTTGAAACACAAATATGCTAATGAAATGATCGAATGTCATTTCCTCACAGTTCTGTCAAACAGACTTTATTCTGGTGTAAACATGCTCAATCAGAATACATTTTCTGATGCCGGATTCCTACAGTAGACATGTGTCTGACAAGTTCTGAAACTGAAAATTCAGAAGATTTCCTAAACTGACAGTCACACTCACCACATGTTGTGGCTGGCCAGCTGTGCGGAGCTGAGTCAGGGGGTGAACATCCCCCTTTATCTCTCCGCTCTCATTATTAGGGATGTAACGATCTTTGTAATGTCTCAATAATGTCATCTACACATCGACAGACAAAACTCTTCACATGTGGCAAACAAAATCTTAAGTAGGACAAAGGACGTTCCTCTACCAAAACAAAAACCACAACCTGAACCCTCCCGGTGGAGGAGAAACCGATACTCAGACAAATAAGCCACTAGAGAAACACAACGCTTTTCCCTCACAATATCTGGATGTGGTTCAATTCACAAATCATGCAGAAAAACTAACAATCTAGACAGCAAGCAAGATGTCAACAACCTGTCAGTCAAGTCAAGAGCAATTATGGTTCAGCTCAACTGTGCATATTTACTTACGTATCTTTTACACACACGACATCACACTAATCTATATCAGTCTAATGTGACTGAACACACAGATATGATCCACAAGTTTAGAAGAGTCAGTTACAATTGCATCTACATTTAATCAAGCATTTAAAATATCCAAGATTAAAGTTCTTTCCTGACTTGAAGATAGTGCAAAAAACAGTCTCTCTTAGCATTATATTCATTTTTAACTTGGAAATGTCTTGTGAACATAGCTCACTATCCCAAGATGCACCCATGTGACAATTATACAAAACAAAACCTCGCACTGGTTTCTGAGACATGTATATAGCTTCTACAACTGTTAAACAACTGTCAGCAAATCTGACTTTTGACATCATTTGTGCTTGTTTGTGCCTGTTTGGGAACAAAGTGCAATATGTGTTCAGACAGGAAGTGAATTAAATATGTCTAATGTCTGTCATCAGGATGAATGAATAATGTTGGCGAGGAGATGAGTCAGTTAAGATTAATATGCAGTTTGTTGCTCCAAGCTAGCAGTTAAAAAGACATGGGAGGCAGTTAGCAGCTCAGAGGTGAACCTAAACTCTGCAAACCTCTTAAATAAATTTTGATTTGATTTGATTTGATTTTGATTTTGATTTGATTTATTCTTTCAAGCATGTAAAGACAGTTGATATGTCAACACACATAATTTCACACATATCCAACAAATGCTAATCCAATATCAATGTGCTTATACCTAGTACATGCTTGAATGGAGTAGGAAGAAGTCAGACTTATCCAGTCCTACCCCATGACATCATCTTACCATCATTGGTTTGCAAGCAGTATCTCTACATAGATAATTATCTTCTACACCACACAAGTAATATACTAAAGAATTATTACAGAGTGTTAACATTCATACACCACACCCACAATGTTCCATCTAATTAATCATTAAGCCTGTTCTTGCATATATCTTGATTGACACATACCTTTATATTTATGTTTAAACTCATCAATTCTATTACTATTTTTTATGTC